TGTACCTGGTGTGGTAGTTTGAATGTAATTGGCTCCCATAAGTTCATAGGGAGTGGTGGAATGGCTTTGTTGGAGTACATGTGGCCTTTTTTGGAGGAAGTGTGTTGCCATGGAGGTGGGCTTTGAGGTCTCATACATGCTCAAGTCCTGCCCAACATCTTAGACCACTTCCTGCACAAGATGTAGAACTCTCAGCTACCTCTCCAGCATCATGCTTGCCTGCATGCCACCATGTCCCACCATGATGATAATGAACTAAACTTCTGAGACACTCCAATTAAATGTTTTCTTTTATAAGAGTTGCTGTGGTCATGGTGTCTCTTCATAGCAATAGAAACCCTAAGACACCCAGTGAAGACTCAGTTGGAGAAAACTAATTTTTCCTTTGAGTGTTTATTGCATTGAAGATATCTTCTGGGCTAGGGATGGGGGCTTGTGTCCAAATCCCTGAGCAAAATGCTACAGGTTCAGACTCTGTGAGTTCATATGTGCACCACCCCTGTTGTGTTTAGAAGGCCTGGTTTCCTTGGTGTCTTCCATCCCCACTGGCTCTTACAATCTTTCTACCTCTTCTGAAAGTTCCTGAAGGGCATGAAGCCTATGGAAATACCTGGAAGTGTTTGGGTGGCATTTATTCCAAGCTACCATCTTGTGGATCTAAGTACTATTCCTTTCCCTCTTGTTTAAGCTTAGAAATTCCTCAAGGGTAGGACTGTGTTCGGTGGTCACCTCTTCTCTGAGAGAGAAGTCACTCCTTCTCTGCATTTCATTCATGATTGAAAGAAGTAGGCTAACTTCATGAGGGCAATTAAAGAACAATTAAAGTGTGGCTTATGGTTATTGGGAGAATGTGAGGGGAAGCACATAGGTAGAGAAAGAGTCCTTGGAAGCCTGGTAGAGAGGGTTTGTGAGGTGAATGGGAGTTGGGGCTGGGGCATCAAAATGGGGAAGCTTCTCCACATTCCTGTTAAGGTCCCATGGCCTTTCTTGACAGGCTTCCTCATCCAGTCCCCACTGGCCCCATTTGAGCCACTTTGAGTTTCTTTAATTGCAAGTCTGGGAGCTCCAATTGCAGGGCTGAAGTCTGTGGCCCCTCTAGGGAGACACAGGCCTCATGCAAGTCTGGGAGTTCCAATTGCAGGGCTGAAGTCTGTGGCCCCTCTAGGGAGACACAGGCCTCATGGTCCTTGCTCAACGTCTGTGTTAAGTACCTGTGTGGGCAGTGGAGGATAATTCAGTGATTCATTTGAGAGGCTGATGCCTTGTGCAAATGGGGCAGGGAAGAGTGGGTGAGCTCCAGTGTCCACAGGCTGACTCTGGCACTTGTGCCCATCATCTGATTGACTAAGTTTGACTTCTTTTTGTTTCTTTTTTCTGTTCTTGCTGGGAAGAGGCTGTTGTCTGTCCAAGCCCTACTCTCTGAACCAGAGTGATCCAGAAGCTGAGGGTTGATGGGGAGGGAACTGAGGAAGGAGATCAGAGCTAGGGGCTAGCTCTTCCTTATCCCTGGTCTACCAGGAAATGCAACAGAAGACTGATGAGATAAAGTTAAGTGAGAAATTTCTCCAAAGGGCATTTCTGCCAATGATTTTTTCCACAGGGGACCCACCAGAAGGTGAGCATAGGTCATTCTCCTTAACATATGTCCTCTCATCCTGGCAGTTCTTATTACTGGCTATTGACTTTTTTCCTTCATGACAATGTGTTCACCAGTATTTCCTCTGCTTTAGGTTGTCTGGTACTATTAGAGTAATTGTTTTTATTTTCCCTTTTTTCAAAAAAAGATTTATTCATTTTATTTTATGTGTATAGGTGCCTTGCTTACATATATCCAACTAGGATGGAGAAAGAAATGTTGTACGTTAGTTTATAGTATAAGAGGGTTGGAGTGGGGAGTGTATGTGGCTGAAGGCCTCCACTTGCTATCAGTAGGAAGGAGGGGTCTCAGCATACACGAGGAACTTTTTCTGTTAGACTAGAGGAGACCTGAGTTATTTAGCCTGGTTGATCTTAAAACTGATATAGCTAAGAAGGTACTTTAAGGCTCGGGGAACTGTAATTCACTCCTATAGAAAGCTCCATTCCAGGATGTCACTGTTTGGAAGAATACCTGGGCACATTTCTGGCATACCAGACATGTTCTGTTCTGTGAAGAAATGGATGATATAAAACTTCTTGATCACTGGTCTGATGTAGCTCATCCTAAATTAGGGAATTACTCCAGTTCTTTCTATACAAAGAGTCCAGTGTCCTAGGTAATTGCTTCAATTCCTCTTTGCAGTGGTTTAGGTAGACATGAATACACCAGCACACAGAGGTTTCAGAGGTGCAACTGCCATCCGTTTGTGAAGAATCTCCCTATGCTTTATAAATAGCTGAGGCTATTTCCTTTGTTATCATTCCTTTTCTTACCAAGAAAGAAATCGTGTAACAAATCACTGTGCTCAAGTCAAAAACAAGCTCCCTGAAATGGAAGGAGGGGATTTCTGCTTTCAGAACTTGGAACTTTTTGTCATATAATTCATCTGAATTATCTTATTCAGTCATCCATATTCATTGAGGTCATACTATGAAGTAAATGACCTCCCTAGGGGCTGCCCAGATGCTGCTGTGAATAATAGATGATGTTTATGTTCCAGTGAGACGATTTAGGCATTAAAACAGGGGGAAAAGTATTTATGCAGCCAAATGAGGTGAGTAGTGAGAATCAGATCAGAGAAGGGCCTTGAAAGTGTAAAATGCTTAGATTTTAATGTGACTTTTCATGTCTATAAAAATTGGCGCTTGAGTAAAGATAGAGGCAGGTTAAAGATAGAGATCTGGGCAAAAAGCCTGCATCAGAGACAAGTTCTAAAAAGTGAAAGAGTGAGGATGCAGCTGTGTCCAGTTTGAGCAAATTCAAGGAAGCACTGTGAAGATTGGGGAATGGTAGAAGCTCCAAGGCACCGGTGGGGGCAGATGTATGAGTGTATGCTCATGTGGGTATACACTCACACTTGCATGGAAGGCCTTGTTTGTCTATAAGAGTTTGATTTGTATTAGACTAGATTGGGAAGTCATTGATATACTTTCAGCAGGAGTTTATTTTTTCACTTCAGACATTAGTAGAATCATAAGAACTATTGTGAAAGTAAACTCAAAGGCTTTAGAAACAGATGCCGGGGAAACCATGAAAAAGGCTGTAAGTAATTATCAGGATGAATCGTGGTAACTACTGTGTGGATGGTGAGGGATAATTAGATTCTGAGAAAACTTGACTCTAGAATCAAGAGGTTTTCAGACAGCTTGAATCTTGATTGAATGATTGACAGAAATATTGGAGTAAGAAAGATTCCAAGACCTTTGGCCTAAGTAAAATAGAGGTTCAAGAATGAAGCCAGACATGTATTATATTTATTATGAGAATTACACACCTGTAATTCAACACTAGAAAAGCTGAAGTAGGAAGATTGCCATGAGGTCAAAGCTAACTTAGGCTACATAGTGAGTTCCTTGGCTACCATGGGGTTTAGGGAAAGACACTATTTCAAAAACAAACAAATATCAGAACATCACAAGATTTTATGTTTACTATTTAGAGAGGGCGGGAGAGAAATAATCTACAGGCATATGTGTGCATGTATGTGTATGTGTTCCTGCAGAGGCCAGAGTAGGACATTGGATCCCCTGGAACCAGAGTTACAGGCTGATGTGGGTTGACTAAGGTGGGTTCTTGGAACCGAACTCATGTCCTCTACAAGAGCCACAAACGTCTTTAGCCACTGAGCCATTTTTCCAGGCTCCCATCCTAGTCTTTGTCATCTTCCCTTATAATACATTAGTTCTCTTTTCATAGTAAATAGTCTCAGTAGTATTAAAGTCTGATACCAGTTACTTAAAGCCAGCGCTGTATAGAAAAGCCAAGGTATTGCTGGCCGGAAGAGGATTGCCCAGTAGTTCTGTGACTCATAAAAAAAAAAAATAGATTCTATTGTTCTTGGTATAGATGTATACAAATAGAGACATGTAATACAGTTCTGTGAACCAGAAAAGTGTTGTGGCCTATTAAAGGCCATTGTTCTGTGTGTTGCAAAGCAAACATTGTTAAATTTTGGTGAATTACAAAACTGTAACTGACTGAAGAATTCAGAAACAAAGCTGTGTCGCTCCGTCTCAGGACTTCTCTGTGTCTATTTTCAGGTGACTGTGAATCACTGTGCCATGGGAATGTGGCCGAATGCATCAAGTGTAGACGGGTTTATCCTCTTAGGCATCTTCTCCCAGAGCCAGACGGACCTGGTCCTCTTCTCTGCAGTTATGGTGGTCTTCACAGTGGCACTCTGCGGGAATGTTCTCCTCATCCTCCTCATCTACACCGACTCCCGACTTCATACTCCTATGTATTTTTTCCTCAGTCAGCTCTCCCTCATGGACCTCATGTTGGTCTGTAACATTGTGCCAAAGATGGCAGCCAACTTCCTGTCTGGCAGGAAGTCCATCTCATTTGCGGGTTGTGGCATACAGATTGGATTTTTTGTCTCTCTTGTGGGATCTGAGGGGCTCTTGTTGGGACTCATGGCTTATGATCGCTATGTGGCCATTAGCCACCCACTTCATTATCCCATTCTCATGAGTCAAAGGGTCTGTCTCCAGATTGCTGGGAGTTCCTGGGCTTTTGGGATCCTTGATGGAATAATTCAGATGGTGGCAGCCATGAGCCTACCCTACTGTGGCTCAAGGTATGTAGATCATTTCTTCTGTGAGGTGCCAGCTTTACTGAAGCTGGCCTGTGCAGACACATCCCTTTTTGACACCCTGCTCTTTGCCTGCTGTGTCTTCATGCTACTCCTCCCCTTCTCCATCATTGTGGCTTCCTATGCTCGCATCTTGGGGGCTGTGCTCCGTATGCACTCTGCTCAGTCCAGAAAAAAGGCTCTGGCCACCTGTTCCTCCCACCTGACAGCTGTCTCTCTCTTCTACGGGGCAGCCATGTTCATCTACCTGAGGCCAAGGCGATACCGGACTCCTAGCCATGACAAAATCGTCTCAATCTTTTACACAGTTCTTACTCCTATGCTCAACCCCCTCATTTATAGCTTGAGAAACAGGGAGGTGATGGGGGCGCTGCGGAAAGGGCTGGACCGCTGCAAGATTGGCAGCAAGCGTTGAAAAGTCATGGTCTAGTGCCTGACTGTTACTTGCTGTGTGCGTATCATTGGTAAGTCATCTTTGTTTTGTGAATCTCGATTTCCTTATAGATAAAGGAGAATCATGGCACTGGCCCTCTCACGGGGATTTTTGTAGGGATCACTTTATATGAATGTAAAGCCTCACAAGAGAGCACTGCTTCACTGTTATTACCTGTTGTTTATAACACCCTTCAATAAAATTTGCTCTATTTCTTAATTACTCTTGGCAGCAGTTGTGTTTTATTGAGTGCTTCCTAAGGTCTGGGCTGGACTGGTTCCATTCTGTATTATTTAATAGGTAATTCAGGATAAGAAATGTGGGTATCTTGAATGGGAATTTTCCAGATGGCAAGAACTGAGTTTCTATGATACTTGAATAGTCTTAGCTCCCTCCTTGTGCTCTAGTAGAGGCTGTAGAAACTGCCCTTAAGTCTCTGGTTAAGGGGCCAGTGAGATGGATCAGCGGGTAAAGGTTTCTTCCACCAGGCCTGACAACCTGAGTTTGATCCCAGGATGGGTGGGAGGAGACAACCAACTCCCGAAAGGTGTCCTCTAACCTTCACATGCATTCCAGGACACAGATGTACTAAACATACATACACAGGAAAAAAATAAATGTAATTTTACAAGAACATGCGTGGGAGTGTCTTTAAAAATATATGCTTATTTGAATCCTTTGCCTATTTTGAAGTAGAGTTTTAATTTTTTCCTAAGTTGTTGGAGTTCCTTGTATGCCTCAGAGGCTGTAACCTTCCCAGAAATGCAAGGGGCAAATACTGTCTCCCATTCACCGGATTTTCTTTTTACTTTGGGATAGTTATATTGATGCACACGGTTTTTAGGATTTTTGTTTTTGTTTTTGTTTTTTGAGACAGGGTTTCTCTGTGGCTTTGGAGGCCGTCTTGGAACTAGCTGTTGTAGACCAGGGCGGTCTCGAACTCAGAGATCTGCCTGCCTCTGCCTCCTGAATGCTGGGATTAAAGGCGTGCACCACCACTGCCCGGCTAGTTTTTAGGATTTTTATGAAGCCCAATTTATTTTTTCTTTCACTGCTTGTGGCTTTGGCATCATAACTGAGACTCCATTGTAGAATTCAAGGTCATGAATATTGACACTCACATTTTAAGAATTTATTGCTTCCAGTCTTATAGTTAGTTCATTGATCCATGTTCAGGTCATTGTGGCATATCATGCCATGTGGAAGTTGAACTTCATCCCTTTTTCTTGTGGATGGATATCCGATTGTTCTAATGTTTGTTGAAAATAGACTTCTTCCTCCACTGAATGGCATTAGCATCCTTGCCAAAAGTCAGTGCGTCATGAATATGTGGATTTATTTCTGAACTCTAAGGTCACTTCCTGTTTCCTTTCCATCCATCTTCTTGCCAGTACTGCATAGTTTTGATTACTGCTGTACCACTGTTTTATATTGTATTTTGAAATAAGCACCGTGGATCTTCCAACTTTGATCTTATTTTGCTACTGGGCTTCTGAAGTTTTCCATAAATTTAAAAATTGACTTTTCCATTTAAAAAAATTTATAGGAATTGCATTGGATTTGACAAAACTACACTTTGAGAAGTCTTATCATCTTAACAACATCAGATATCTTAATCTGTAAACATTGGATATCTCTCTGTTTAGCTAAATGGCGTACTTTTTAAACTTGTTTTTTTTATTGAACTATACATTTTTCTCCACTCCTCTCTCCCCCTCCCCGCTCCTCTTTCACCTTCCCCCAGCCCCACACTCCCAATTTACTCAGGAGATCTTGTCTATTTCCCCTTCCTGGGGTGGGGGCGGACGGTAGGAATCCGTGTATGTCTCTCTTAGGGTCCTCTGTTACCTAGGTTCTCTGGGGATGTGGCTTGTAGGCTGGTTGTTCTTTGCTTTATATCTAATATCCACCTATGACTTAGAAGATATTATATTTGTCATTCTGGGTCTGGTTTACCTCACGGAGGATGACTTTTTCTAGTTCCATCCATTTGACCGAAAATTTCGAGATGTTATTGTTTTACTACTGAGTAATACTCCATTGTGCAAATGTACCACATTTTCCTTATCCATTCTTTGGTTGAGGAGCATCTAGGTTGCTTCCAGGTTCTGGCTATTTTGAATAAAACTGCTATGAACATAGTTGAGCAAGTGTCTTTGTGACATGAGTGTGCATCCTTTGGGTATGTGCCCAAAAGTGGTACTGCTGGATTTTGAGGTACATTAATTCTCAGTTTTCTGAGAAACCATCATACTGATTTCCAAAGCTTCTGTACAAGTTTGCACTCCCACCAGCAATGGAGGAGTCTTTCCCTTACTCCACATCCTCTCCAGCATAAGCTGTCATCAGAGCTTTTGATGCTGGCCATTCTGACAGGTTAAATGGTGTACTTTTTTCTTGGTGTCTAATTGGACTGTAGTCTGCTCAATAGGATGGAATAGATGTCTTGACTGTAAACCTAGCCAGCTAACTGTGGGAAAGGTCATAGACTCAAGAGAACCTACTACTACCATTTTCCTAAACCAATATAAATTTTTTGAGACAAGGTCTTACTGTGTTGTGCTGGCTGGCCTGATACTCACTATATAGGCAAATCTGACCTCAAACTCAAAGAGATCTGTCTGCCTTTGCCCCCTGAGTATTGGAATTAAAGACATGTGCAACCACACCCAGCCCTCAATATAATTTCTAACCACATTCAAATACTCATCCATATTCCCCCAAATGAATATAGCTCTCATTCCTCATGGAAGAAGTTTCCTTTTTGTTGCAGATGGAGACTATTATGGAGACCCACAACTGATCAAAATGCAGGGAATAAGTGACTATGGGTGCCTAGATCCATGTAATCTATAAGGCAACCCCTACTCCTAATATACAAGAGAAGTCATGAAAGAGAGAGAGGCTAGATTATAAGAGCTAGACAACCAGGATTCCTGTTGCAAAATAGTGGTGTCTTCTAGATACTGAAGACCTGCATAGAGACTATGACAGTTGACATGCTAATGTGCCTGAGGATATTTCATGATGCCTCACCCCTAGACAAAGAGTTATAGCTAATCAATGGCTGTTGAGAGTGGGAGAATAGTTGTTTTTTCGGGTGAGCTCCCTGATAGGTTATTCAATTCCAAGTGTCAGTCTTAAACACATGTAAATAGGCACAACACTAAATGGACTCAGTAGAATATACATATATAAGTACATACATATATATGTAATGAATTTGTACATACATGTAGCAATAATATTTAAAAACAAAAAAGATCATGAATTTTAGAGGGAGTCGGGGGATAAAGGAGCAGTTTGAGAGGTGATAGGGTGGGTTAGAAATTAAGTAAATATAGTATTCATATATAAAAACTTTAAAGAATAAAAAATTTAAATGGAAAAAAATCATACACCATGACCAAGCTGATTTCATCCCACAGATGCAATGTTGGTTCAACATGAGCAAATCAGTAAATGCCATACAACATGTAAATAGAATTAAGAGAAGTCAACAATTGTCTCAACAGACAAAGAAACAGACTTTTGACAAAGTTCAACATACTTTCATAACAAATCCCTGAAGTCACCAGGATGATCAGTGAAGGCTACATTAAAACACACACACACACACACACACACACACACACACACACACACACACAAGCTAAGTGATGACAAACTGAAAGCATTTCCTTTAAAGCTAGGCATGAAGCCTAGCTTTAGGTGGCTCCCATCACTGCTGTTCTAATACTGTATTAGAAACAACGGTGGCTCCCATCACTGCTGTTCTAGTACCATAAGTATTAGAGCAGTAACGGGAGAAAGAAGGAAGCAGATACAAACAGGAAAGGAAGAAAGCACACTATCTCTGTTTGCAGATGATACGATTAAAAAACCCCACTGACTCCACCAGAAAACTCTTCTATCAAAAAAAAAAACCATTTTCAATGGAGTAATAGGATACAAAAATATATATACAAAAATATATATCACTATACAAAAATCTGTAATTTTTTTTACACACCAATAGCATACTTGCCAAGAAAGAAATTGGGGTGGATGAGGTGTGTGTGGGGGAATCCCACTCACAATAGCTTAAAAAAAAAACAGGGGTGGGGAGATAACTCCATTGGGAAACTACTTGCTGCACAAGAAATAAGGACCTGAATTTGGACCCCCATCACACACATAAAAATCTGGACACCACCCCATTCATCTGTTATCCCTGGGTGGGGGATGTAGAGACTGACAGGTTCCCAGAGCTTGCAGGTCAGCCAGCCTGGCTAAATCAGTGAACTGTTTTTTTGTTTGTTTGTTCATTTTTGAATCAGTGAGTTTTAAGCTCAGCGAGAGACATTGTCTCAAAAACTACCAAGAGTGACTGAGGAAGACCTAGCTCCACACACACCTGCACACACCCACGTGTATGTAGGTATGCAAACATATACAAACAAAAATTAGTAATAAATTTAACCTAAAGGAAGCAAAAGACTGCTACAATTTAAAGCTTAAAACACTGAAAAAGAAATCAAAGATGCTTGAAGACATAAATATCCCCTATCCTCATGGATTGGCGGAATTGTTGTTATGAAGAAGTGGGTTTATTACTAAAAGCAGCCCAGGGGTTCAATGTAATCCCCATCAAAATTCCAAGTACTTTTCACAGAACTAAAGAAAACAATCCTAAAATTAATATAGAAGCATAAAAGACTCCAAAATATCCCAAACAATGCTCCGCACAGAGAACAATGCAGGAACAATCGCAGTGCCCATCTTAAATTATGTTCCAGTGCCAAAGTGACAAAAATAGCATGGTGCTAGCATAAGAGCAGAAATGTAGACCAATGGAACAGAAGACCCAGAAATAAACCCACATAGCTATAGCTACTGAATTTTTAGGTGTCAAAAATACATTGGGAAAAATGACTGCTCTCTCTCTCTCTCATGTGTGTATTTTATATGTGCACCTGTGCATGCATGAGGAGACCAGAGAA